GTAGACCAGGGTGGCCTTGAACTCACAGAGATCCTCCTGCCTCTGTCTCCTGAGTGCTGGGACTAAAAGCATGTGCCACGACACCTGGCTAAATTTATTTATTTATTTATTTATTTATATTTGTGTGTGTGTGTGTGTGTGTGTGTGTGTGCGCGCGCGCGCGTGCGCACTCATTCAGGCCACAGTGTGCATGTGAAGGCCAGAGGACAACTTGCAGGAATCAGTTCTCTCCTTTCACCAGGTGGTTTCTGGGGATCAAACTCAGGTTACCAGGCTTTGCAGCAGGCACCTTTACCCACTGAGCCATCTTACCTGCCCCTTATCTTTATTTTAAGGCATGCTCAGAGATAGTTTATCATAAGGCTTATTGCCCAAACTGGATGGTTTTGAATATGAAAGGGATCTATTAATTTTACTTGCACAAGGGTCAAAGTCTGCATGCATTGTGCAGTCGGAACACAAAATTTTCACGTTGCCCGATTATAAATTTCTACTTGAATGGCTATAATGAGAAAGCACGAGCTTTCAAACCTGGGTGTGAACACAGATCTCTAGCTTTGAGCAGGTCCTACAAACATTTTGGGTCATAACCTCTTCTTTGTCAGTCATTTAACTTGTAAAATAACATTGCACTTACAAGTCATCTAGGACACAGCATGCATTCAGACACCAACGCTGTTGTAATGCTCCACCAGTATTAGCAGAAAGGGCTGTGTCTTTGTACTGGAGATGGAATGCGTTGCTCACTGCAACTTCTTCAGAGTAGAAAAATAACACTAGTGGATGGGACACTTCAACCTGCTCCTGTAGAAGGCCAGTTTCCCATAGTTTGATATGTCAGGCAGGATCATCTACAGACTAAGTAATAAAAATAGATGGTTACCCATCAGCTCTACTGATGGGTTTCAATATGAAACGGAAATAGATGCGGAAATTAGTGTACTAGTGTGAGGAAGACCCGACCCTGAGAACACATTGAAGGATTTTGGACCTCACGTCTAAACTGAGACATGCTCAGAGCTGATAAAAGTCAACTTTGCTTGTACAAGTCTTCTCACTTAAATCTGTGCTTTAAAGAGCAGTTTATTTCCTGCCAGCCTGTGACTCCGTGGCCCCAAATGATAGTATCATTTTCATATTTGTTGAAGAAATGATGACAGTTTAATTTGCATAATTTCTGTTGGTTTTTTGCACTTTTTCAACTAAACATCTTGTTTGTGAAAATTTTAAAAAATTCGTATCAGTGGCAAAGTTTTATGTCATTTGGGACATGAAATTATAAGCAGAAAAAAAATGTCTTTCATTAGAAAATAAAAATATCCAAATTCTCCCCAAATGCATTGAAATATTAGGGGTTGCAGCACTTTCTGCTGGCATTCTCTGCCCTAGAAGTGCTAAGCTAATTTGTCAGGGAGATGAGGAAGACAGTTCAGGGTAGGAGATAGTCTCAGGGCTCAGGATCTGCTTGTTTATTGCAGAACTGTCTTCATGCAAACTAACAATTTAAGGAGCAAGCACCCAACCCCTGCAGTTGGTAGAGCTTCTGAGCCTGAGTTTGCCCACTTAGCTGCAGCAAGCATTTTTCTAAGTATCTCCTGAACAGGCTCCCCTTCAAAAGGGACAGCTGCCCAGCCAGAAGCACACCATCTTCCAGGAACCACACCATTTACATATAACACATAACAAAGAGGCAATAAAAGGACTCTGGAAACACTAAAATGAACAGAGAACAGGTGAGTGACAGGGGAAAGTGCATCTATGTAACACTGAAGTAAGTCTTCAAGGACTAGAGATTTAGCTAAGTGTTGAGCACTTGTCTAACATATGTAAGGCTTTAAACTCAGTCCCCAGCACTGCAAAACAAAGTCTGACTCTAAGCATCGATTTTAAGCCAAGAGTGAACCCAAACTGCTGAGAATCTGTTCTCCAGACTTCTCCAGAACTGTGCTCCCAAACAAGGTGTGCTGGATAGCTTTAGTGTCAACTTGACACACCTGGGTTGAGGGAGCCTCAACTGGGGAATTGCCTCTATTGGACTGGCCTCTGGCCATGTCTGAAGGGCATCTTCTTGATGAGTGATGTGGGAGGGCCCAGCCCACTGTGGGTGGTGCCACCCCTGGGCAGGTGGGCCTGTGTTGCATGAGAAAGCAGGCTGAGCAGGGGCCAAGGGAGCAAGCCAGTAAGCAGCAGTCCTCCGTGGCCTGTGCTCCAGCTCCTGCCTCCAGGTTCCTGCTCTGAGTTCCTACCTTGGGCTCCCGGATGAACTGTGACCCGGGATATGTAAGCTAAATAAACCCTTTCCTCTGCAGGTTGGTAGTGGTCAAAGTATTTTGTCACAGCAGTGAAGAAACAAACTAAGACAAAAGGGCTGGCTCTTTTTTATTGAAATGTTATCTCCAGCATGAAATGAAGAAGTAAAAGTCAGACACTTATCTTATCAGAGAAGAATTTTGCCCTTTCTGATCCCTACTGAGCTGAGCTAGACCAACACACTTACAACCACAAAGGCACATTATCAATGTAATTCTATTGTTTGTATATCTTCATTGTTTCCAAGGAATAATCCATATTCTGTGATGTCTGCAGCACTTTCCTAAAATTTACACAAAGGAACTGGAGAGATGGCTCAGCAGTTAAGATCACTGACTGCTCTTGCAGAGGACCTGGGTTTGATTCCCAGCATCCACATGGCAGCTAACAACCATCCATAACTCCAGTTCTGGGGAATCCAACACCTTCTTCTGACCTCCACAAGCATTACACGACATGGGTAGACTTACACACATGCAGGCAAAACATTCATACACATAAAATAAAAATAATAAATAAAATATTTTTAAAAACCTACACACACACAAATTCATAGGTTGTTTTGGGTTAAGGGTAAAGAAGGGCCATGAGGGATTAAGGCCATATTCCCAAGTCACAGGAAGAGCACACAGCTTAGTGATCTTATTTACATTATAAACATGCTAAGACAAGATTAACTTTTGGTTGCAAGGTTAAGTAAAAGTCATTTGTCCAGAGTATGTCCCACATTGTAAAAGTCATTCCAACGTCTTTTGTTTTGCGGTATTCTTTCATCCCTCACCCCTGCCTGCAGTCTCCTGTTTCATTCTTAACTCCTTAGAAAGCAGTGTAGAGGACAGGAACACTAACGTGCTACTGCAGAAGAGCACACCCCTGCCCAGCAGGCCCTCAAACCTTGACACAAGATCACAGAGAACAGTTCCCTTGGCCACCGCATGCTTTTTATACAGATTTCTTGGTGCATCTTCGTGTGTTCATGAGTTTCACATGTCCCTGTACTTTTCTTAATGGGACAACCCTAAAGGCCTCATGATTCCATTCACATTCTCAACTGGCCAATTTCC